CTTCCCTTCCCTTCCCTTCCCTTCCCTTTCCCCAACCACTAACTGCTCCTTAAATCTTTTTATACTATGCTTTAAACTTCTACAATTACTATAGGTCGTCCCCAATTTAAGAACAAGTTCCGTTCCCAAGGTCTGTCCTTAAGTCAAATTTGAATGTAAGCCGGAAAAGTATTATTGCATAATACTGCATAAATAGTATTGTGTAATGAACTCAAATCACTGTGGATTTAACTTGAATCATTGTGGATTTAACTCGAATTTTGCTGCAATAGGCTGTGTCCTTAACTAAGGTCGTCCTTAAACCAGGCGTTCTTCGCCCGGGGACGACCTGTACTCGATTTGGGGTTATACTGATAAAACTTCCTGATGCTTTGTGTAGACTATGTACAGAAATACTATGGATATGCTTCCTTTCTATTATATCGTTTTCCCCCTCATTTATGGAGAACAGGATGTTCAGCCATTCAGAATCATTCATGAGTGGAATGGCCTCTAAGCCCCATAAAAATAAAATCAGTAAAATGGTTCCTTAGGGGACCTGGTTTCCAGACCTGACAGCCTTGGTCAGATGTCTTTACAAACGCTCCAATTTGTTTTGAAATGCGGTTCTTGAACCAGGAATCCAACATAAGGAGGGACTCACACCAAGCAGGGTCGAGTCACCGATCCCTATCTGGAGAAAGGGGGGCAGGAAACATCTGCCAAATGAAATTATTGTTATTTATTTTATTTTTGTGGCTGTGGTTACAATGCCTCTACTTACCCGATTCAGTGTAATTGTATATTGCTCCCAGATGATCATTTCCTCCATCTCTGCCACCTAGAAGAACATCACAGAGGAACAATGACTGAAAATCATAGGATTCTGGAATTGGAAGGGACCCCCACTTTAAGAACCATTGATCTAGTCCAACCCTCTGCCATGTGCATTAACTACTTAATCCAGTGTTTCTCAACCTTGGCAACTTGAAGATGTGTGGACTTCAACTCCCAGAATTCCCCCGCCTGCCCCGCGGCCTGGGGGAGTTCGTGGGGTTGTATTCCTATCACCTCCAGATTGCCAAGGGTAAGAAAACCGGGTTTAGGTATTGACGGGAA